GATAGGGCATATTTTCACAGGCAGGTACACAAAGAATATAGCAGTTACAAGTTAGGGTGTGAACGTGACTTGTAAGTTCCTTGATATCAGGATGTATCCCTAAAGCAGCAATGGCATATATGAGGCACTTAAGTATTTATTTGATGAATTATCTCATATAGTACATTATATCACCCCTGAGTTTTAATTACCATTTACTTAGTAGGTTAAAAAAGAGCTCAAATCTATATAATGAACAAAGAGGTGGAATTAAGGATCCAGGAAATAACAGTTTAAAAAGGTGGGCAAATGCTGAAATTCTTATCCCCGTTAAACTTCCAAAGAACCTCTGACTGTTTGACTTACAGTATTCTTAACTTATATAAAAATTTTTTAAGTGTCATATTCTCTTGTCTGAGTTTATTCTTAATCACTTAAAATTCAACATAATTAAAGATGGACCTTTTAAAAAGCTTGCTCATTCAAACCTCCTTTTAGCTATCAAGTACTATCTAAATATTTCTTTACTTCTCAGAATACCCTCAATTCCAACATTTCTAAGTGGTTACCGTATTTTGCCATGTATGGTGTATACTTTTTTGCCCAAATTTTTGAGGGAAAAATAAGGATGCACATTATACACAGATAGCAGTAAAACACGGGTGCACATTATACACAGGAGCATGTTATACACAGGAAAATACGGTAACTTTATGAAACATATTTTCCCCCTGAACTTCAAGAGCTTTCTATCTATGAGAAATTCTGAGAAGAGTTAGGCTCTCTAGACTTATTCTGTTTAATTAAAGTTATCATAATTCAAATGCATATGCCCTTTGACCCAGCCATTTTACTTCTATGAATCAAACCAATATTTGTATTCACACAGGAAGCGAGACACATGTGCAAGGGCATTCACTGCAACACTCTCATAACGGCAAAGGTCTAGACCAGCTCGGATACCTAATGACCAGGCACCACTGAGTCAACACATTATGGTTCGTTACTCCTCTGTGGACTTATGTGTCCATATGGAAATGTCTTCTGGAGTAAGATGAAAAATTCAAGTTTCAGAACAGTAGGTATACAAAAACATATCTGTGGGGGGAAATAAAGGATATATACCTTATAAATATATGTTTTTATATGTTGGCACATCCCCAGAAATTTCTCAAAAGATATATCAAGAACTGTTTCATAACAGTTATCTTTGGGAAGTGAGGCTGGATGTGGGGTACAGAGAAACTTACTTTTCGTTTTTTCTGTTCCACACTATTAAATCACTTTGCCATACCCACGTATCATTTTCATCATGTAATTAGTAGTAAGCTAAAGCAAGAAGAAAGCATCCTGCACAGTGTCCCTTCGTCTTTCTCGGGTAGCTAAAACACGTGGACTGTTACTCTTTAATGAATTCACAATGCATTTCAACTACTTGATAGAATATACAACTTCAATTAACAGTTACTCAGCTTCTGACAAAAGCCTATTTGAATTCATTGATTTTTGAGAAAATTCTGTAGAGTCAGCCTAATCTTCATTCCTCTGCAGAGTTTTAAGCTCTATCTTAATAATAAAGAAAAATATAAGCCCACAACTACATTAGTCTTCACAGAACGTCTTGATTCAATTGCATTTTAATATGTCATCAGTTTTTATAAAGAGTAAGTACATTAGGATTGTTTTTGTATCTTCTATAACATCAATGTTTGAAGATATTTATCATTATGTACTAGGTTGAACCATACAAAATTGTCAGTATTCAGCTGGTTTTTTGATTTTCAAAAAAGCAATTTCATATGGTTCACCTAATAGTTCAGTATTTTTTTAAAATAATGAACTAGCAAATTAAGTCATCTTATAATCAGCAGTAGGGAAAATTTTTGTTTCATAAGTCAAAGTAATATATTCTCTCAACTCAAAAAGATAAAAATGACACTGAGCAGGATGCTCCCTTTTTGCTTGAGCTGCCAGGCAGCACAGTGGTGAATGCAGCACTCAGCTGTTAGTTTTCTTAGCCTAGGTTTCATTACAATTATCTGCATGATTCCTCTTGTTTGACCTTTTCTACTTTTATTAATCCAAATGTACTCACATATATGTTTTTCTGAAAGTATTTTATATACATATATATAACTGGCTATTTAAGAGCACTGTGTCAAGAAGGATCCTTCCTGAACTTGGCAGGGAAAATCACTGAGGTCAGCTGGGGCTATTCCATGTACATACTGCAAGGGGAAAGCCGGCAATGCCCCATGTTTGCAGCCCTATCCCATGTGCTGAAGTGCTCCAGTTCTGCACTGATGAGGCACTTAAAAATGAATTATGAAAGCCAATCTGCACAAGGTGAGATCTGAACTAAATTTAAAATGAGAGGGGCATTAATTGACAGAAAAGGTAAAGGTATTCCTGCCAGAACCAATAAAATACAAAACAAACAATGACATGCAGAGGAATAAATTTCATGTATGTTTATATACATGAATATCTGAATATAGATTAGCTTGGTTTAAGGATAGAATCTGTAAGTACAAGAAATGAGAAATGAAGCTAGAAAGGAATGAATCATTGTAGCTTTTGAGAAGGAGGAAAGTGTTATGAAGAAAATGGTATATAAATTTGGAAAATCACAGTAATTTCTTTTTAAGACTAAAAGGGGCCTCAGGATGAGCACTTTCCCACAACTATCGCAGCATCTGATCCAGGCAGGATGCTAATAACACTGGCTGAGAGACTGCTGGAAGGAGGACAGTCACAGTCTCAGAGTTCTCACTCCACAGATCACTTACTAATCATAAAAAAAGACTCTTTACATGACGTTATAATCAAATCTAACTTTATGACCGAAGTTAAAATCCCTGACTAGGTGCTAAACTGTTATCATGTGCCTCTTCAAAGAGTGCGGTGAGAATCCATCATTTAGATAGTGTTTGTGTCAAAAATCTTTAAACTCCATCTGATCAGAAGGAGACACTCACAAATACATGACTGAGGGACACTCTTCAACGCAAGTGGCCTAAGGACTATGTTAACGTCATGCAAGCACGGAAACTTTGTTCTGGGTTTTTAAAGAACGCAACAGAGACACGGCAACCAAATGCACCAAAGATCCTCTGGGGGTTAAAAAAGTAGTTTTAAAGTACACTATTAGGACAATTGAGAAACTTGAAAATGGACTACATATTAAACAATTAAACAATAGTATTATAATGAATGTTAAGTTTCCCAAGTGTGATAACTGTACTGTGATTACACAGATTTATGCCTTTTTGAAAATCCTGGCCCTGGCTGGCGTAGTTCAGTGGATTGAGCTCGTGCTGCGAACCAAAGTGTTGCAGGTTCGATTCCCAGTCAGGGTACATGCCTGGGTTGCAGGCCATGGCCCCCAGCAACCGCACATTAATGTTTCTCTCTCTCTCTCTCTTTCTCCCTCCCTTCCCTCTCTAAAAATAAATAAAATCTAAAAAAATAAATAAAAATAAAAATAGCACAATACTTTAAAAAAAGAAAGAAAATGCTTGTATAAGTATCAGAAATCTTGTAACTCAAATTACAGAGCAAAAATATTTTCAACAAATAAATAGTAAAACTGTATGTGTGTGTATACATATAAATATACAGGGGTGGCAAAAATTAACAATAGGTAAGTCTAGGTGAAAGACATAGACATACTCATTTATTTCATTCTTACAATTTTTCTGGCCTTAAAAAATAAAACAGCTCTTAGACAATTTCTACAGTTTACAGATGTGATAACTGAAAGCCAAGGAATTTTATTCTGACGTGTTCATTTGGCTAGGCTGTAACAAGTGCACAACTAAAGCTCCTGTGGCGGTATCTGCCAGTCCAGGCTCTTTCAACCATCGCACTGCAGCCCGACCACGCAGGGTGCATCACAGCAGGAACGCCTGCCAGAGGTCGGGGACGGACTACAGAGCAGGCGTTCTAAACCATCTCAGCAGATGAGAGTGCGGCTTAGGACTAATTGCAGGTACGGAAAGAAATGTAACAAGAATCATAAAGACAGTGATATATTAGAAGGAGAAAAGGAAAATTATAATGCACAAACTGAAAAGATGGGAAAATCAGAGTACTAGGGATAATAAAAGAAAAACTGAATTGAAATGACCATTAGGAAAAGAAACTTAGTTTGAGACAATTTCAATGTTATATACCAAAATGTAAGCTGTAAGTATACTAGCATGTAAACTTCAGGAAAGTAGAAATGTTTGTACTTTTTGTCTACGGGTTTATCCTCAAGTAACCTGAACAATGACTAGAAAAAAAACATTTTTCTGAACAAACTGACAGTTTATGAGGCGTTCAGGTACAGAGAGACAGGAAATAGAAATATGAAGCTTAAGAGAAAATATCTAGAGATATTTACTTTGTAGTCTTTAGGAAGTGGACACAATCAAGGCCTCTTCCGTCCTCCTGCCCATACACAGGGAGCTGTGCCAGCGGGGTGAGTATAAGCCCAATAACTCAGTTGTCTTTTTTCTTTCCCATCATTCCCTTTATGTGTATCCTCACAGGAAGCTCCACTGGAAGGATGGGTGGCTATGGTCATATATCCTCTGGTGCCATCAAAACACCATGATTACTCCTAACAGATTTCATTGGCTAGAGCAGGGAGTTCATATGTGGTTCCCAGACGAGCATCATCTGCAGAGGCCTGGAGCTGGTCAGAAATGCAAATCCCTAAGTTCCACCCAAGAACTACTGAATCAGAAACTGCAGGGATGGCCCAGTTATCTGTGTTTTAAAAAGTCTTCCAGATGCTTCTAATGCAGACTAAAGAACTAAGGACAAAATAAAGGTATTAAACTCTTATGTGACAAAGTAGCTACCTCATAGTCTAAGTCATTCTTCTTGAGATGCAGCTAAAAATCTAAGACCCAAATAAATAAAAAGATATTTGTAATACAACCCAGTGTAACACATTAGTAGTAATTCATCATGTAGTGAGCACACAGCAAAACCAGCCTACAGCACCACATTTTGAAAAGGCTTCTACTTACTTTAACGTCTCAGCCAGAAAGAAGCTCTGCTGCACGTCGTCATAGGCAGGCGTGGAGGAGTAGACATCCTTCACCCCGGAAAACCCGCCGCTGACGCGGCAATACTTCTCAATAGCCTGTGAGCGAGATCAGACAACAGAATCAATTCCACAAATTTCAAGTTTTATGGTCAAGTTAAGGGACAACAGTCAAAAGTTCACAGAGTTCTCTATGAGAATTTAACAGTTTAAGAGTAAAATTTATTATCAAATGGAAATAGTTCCCTCAAAAAAAATTGACTAAAGTATTCTGTTTCCTGTGGAATTTCTCCCTCCTCAAAACTCTTTAATCTTTTTAAGACACCTTACATTTTTCTAACTTAGGAGTCAAATTTAGGCTGTTCACACTGAATTCGAGACCTGTATGGCACAATAAAGTCTCATTAATTCTGACAATTCAAGGGAGGTCAATTTAAATTAAAATTTTTAAATACAATTTCATGACTTCCAGGGATAAACAATAATCCAAACATGCTAAAAGAAAGCATTACTTAGGAGCTCTGCATAGCAACAGCAATGAGATATTATTTGCTGCAAACATACACTATGACAGAGATTGTATTATTGTAATTCTATGAGTTAGGCATCATAGGTGGCACCAACTGGCAGGAAGTGCCCGTCCACAAACCTACTGCAATAATTACAATATTAAGGGCTAACAATTATGAAGTGCTGACTGTGCTGAAGGCTCTCCTAAGAGCTTTAATACATTGTCATTTAAATTTCCAACAACCCTATGAGGTTGTGTTAGCTTTACTTTTGGATGGGAAAACTGAGGCCAAGTAATTTGCTCCACTTTATTAACTACTGACTAGAAGTAAAAATTCTTAGTTTATACCTCTTTTTGCATCTTTGAACATGTCTAAATAAAACATACTGAATCAAATGAAATCTATTCAAACCTTGTTTTTAATTCAAAGCAACCAAAAATCCTGCTTGTGCAGGTATAATCCATTCCAGCCAGAATTAGGCCTTTTATGAAAAGTTGAAAGCACAGGTGGACTCCTTTCTCTGCCTGACCCCACGATACTGCGGAATGAAAGTGTGGTCACTGTTCTCCCTACTATTCTTACTCTTCTGGTCCTCCTCCTTTCTAATGAAACGTTAATTAACAATGAAAGTGTTTTCGTAATCAAACTGTTCGCTTTTATTATCGTTCCATTTTGATTACAACTGGGTTTTCAAGTCTTCTTACCAAAGGGTTTGGTACTTTATCTATTTTAAACATATTTTAAATATACAGTTTTTAAATACCATGTTTTGTGCAATGAATGTGTGTCTCTACCCACACAGAACTATCAGAGCAATTGAAGAACACTGAGATATGAGCAGGGAGGCATGACTAATCTTTAAGCCACTTACAGTCACTTCTTGAAGGCTGATTTTCATGCATAATATACTCAGGTGTTTGGAAGTTCAAGTATGTAGATGGAATAGCTAAAGCTACAGAAGACCTGAGATACCATTATCCCGTCTCAGCCCATCTTCCCTTTTCTTTCTTTGCACCCGACTGGGGAGGCCAGTGGTTGGGCAAGCAAGCAAATTCTATTTAAGATATGAATTCCTCCTCCTTTGTCTCCACCTCTACCCGCTTTCTCATCACATGTACTTTTGAAACTTGAATTTAAAGCATCACTATTTCAGTCCTTTCTTTACACGTGAGAATTCATGTGTGTCCATATGAGCTATTAAAAGCAAAATTTGAACTCCTGTTAATTCAGATTTGGACAGATGAGTTGGGCCATACATTAAGAAAGGGCACAGGAAAAAAAGGACCTTAGGAACAGGAGAAATTATCCTAGTATTTCTCAATGAGAGGAAGTTTCTGCCACTACCCCTCACCCCTAATTCAGATCTATCTCCCTTATTCCTTTAAAAAAGAATCATTAAATATTAGGGGATAGTCAAGTAGATTCACTGCAAGATTACCTTACCTATCTATTGCCCCTAGAGAAAATATTGTTTGAAAATAGCATCAGTAAGCCACTGCTCCCACGAGTGTGCATGTCCTGCTCCCGAGCCACTGTGGCGACAGCTGGGCTATCTCCCCACGGCAATACACAGTTTCCCTCGCAGCTATGTTGCCGATTCTGGAACCAGGTGGAAAAGCAGCATGTGCAAATGCTGCCTCAGCTTCTGTTCATGTAACCACCTTCCATTACCATTTTCTTACTACTGTTCAACTCCATAAGGACTATCCAGGTCTGAATGACAAATGACGTGTCCTCACCTTAGTTCAAGTCTTTATTACAGTATGCCCAGATTAATGCAGGGGTCTCCAAACCCCACCCATTTGCAGATTACAACCACGTCCTTTTGTTTTCTTACCCCGCCCCCCCGACTAAAAAGCCTTTAGTAATTCCTCCCCCTTTCAGAAATCTTTAGTAGCCCTATAGCAGATTCTTAAAGTTGGAGAGGTTTGGTGGGTAGGAGGAGGCGGTGAGGAGAAAAATCTGATGGGCTTTTTAGACAGGTCAAGATCTTTCCATATCCATGAGAAACACCTACACAGTAACTGAGAGAAGTGTTTGTCTGTGTGTGTGCTATTCCTCAATCACTGAGTAAGGTATACATCCCTTCATCTGGCACATGAGGCCATCAACACAATGACTTGAAACTCCTCTCTCTGGTTGCCGCTGTGAAACCTCCTTTTTATATAAACTGGCCTACATTCTGACCTAGAACATACCTTTTATGTTCCTGTCTGAGCAAGTTCCTGACATCACTTATCTCACCTAGAATTACCTCATTCTATCCATACTCTAGGCTTAAATTAAATAATTTAATATGAATATTCATCATTATTACTACTATTTATCATAATTAGTATATCTCAGTGAATAAAACACTCCCTCACTCTCAGGAATAAGCTATACTTTCACAAAAAAATTAATGATTTTTGTTCTCCCCAGGTACTGAGAACCATTCATTCTCTCAAAGCCAAGTATGGTAAGAGTAAACCACTTGTTTTCTTTACTTACTAACCATTAAAAATTCCTCATTTCATATATATATTTATATTTATATAAGATATATATTCATATTTATATGTATTATATGATATTAATCATATACATGTGTGTGTGTGTGTGCGTGTGTGTGTAAAACAATTCACTGATCCTTCTCATGGTGTGGTGATCCACTAAGAAATTACTTAGAACATAGGTTGAAATGAACAGGTAACCTACCCAGACTGTGAATCTGGGCAATTTTACAATTTTTTTTTGAGTTGGAGCATTAACAGGAAAGCACAGAATGTCTATAATGACAGGGAAAAAACTTCCTTTTAAATGACTCTTTATAGTTACTCAATAAGAGTAGGAAAATACTTCTAATAGAGAACTAAACTGAAGTCTAAGGTTTACTTTTGCTGCTTAAGAAACTTAAATGGAGTAAGAGAGTCTTCCATCAGATAAACGGAGATAGCCCCACAGTTACTGAACATGACGAGGTAACACGGAGGAGGAGACACGACTCTGGAGAAGGACTTGATGCTGCACGTTTGCCCAGGAAATCAAACACTGGTTTATTTACCAGAGCTGCTTCCCAGCCCCACTGCCTGTATCTCGGATCATGGGTGAATCGCCACAGGTACCAATAGGTTTCGATGACTTCGGGACGGAGGATGTAATACTTCTCAGCCTGCCGGACTGCCACTGCCTCTACTGCACCGTCAAACTTGAAGGATTCGGGACCTAACTTTAAAGCTGTAACATGACAAAAGAAATAAATGAGCACAATCAACCACTTGGGTTTGTTTGTCAGAGCTTTCTTCTCCCCTGAAGGAATGGGGATGATGTAAGTTATTTTTGTTTTTTGTTTTATTTTTACTGTTGCTGTTTTGCAAAATCAGTGATTTTTAAAAATCCACATTTGGCTTTCTTATGATAGACATAAGTATTCCTATTATTCTGACATAAAATCTCTCTCATAAATAATGTACATCAACATACTGCTAAACCCAAGTACCGGCAAGAGTCTCGTAGTCTTCTGGAAACAAATGCAAAGGTAAGACAGAAGCACATTACATATTCTGTTTTGGTCCAAAATAAAATGAGGCACATAAATGTCCTGTGCAGAATTATTTTTTAAAAAGTCAAGACAATTTTAAATCCTTTTAATAAAACATACACATAGGAAAACATTTTGGAGCTCAGGTCTTTTTTTTTTCCCTGTGATAACATTTTAGAGCTCAGAGCTTAGACCTTGAATTAGATTTAGTTGTAGAGTATAAACCTTTTTTAAAAAGCATGTTATATAGTATATAAAAATATTTTAAAACTCAAATCAGTTTTAAAAATAAACTCTAAGTATGCAGCACCGTAGAGTTGAAATTGCCAATCATTAAGAAACTTCACCAGTAATTTGCCCATTTATTCCTGAAGTTAGGAATAACCAACAAATTATCAACATTTTGTTAGAAAACTTCTCTCCAGTTTGAATAAAACATAGCCATACACGTATGTTTCCACAATGCATAGTATTCCTTAAATGATATGATTTCCAGTCAGGCTGGAATATAGAGCTACAGGAAGAGCTTTTTAAGACGTTCTTTCTAATCATGCCCAGCACCTAAACCTGGGCGATAAAGCCATCTTTCACCGGGAGGCTGAAGGTGCACGCCATCACCACTCCCAGCAGCCATCTTTCTTTCTCTTTACTAGGCTGCACTGGTGGCAAATAGTGTCAAGGTTCCTCACCTCTTTCATGACAATGTTATACATTTTTATATTTTCTTAGAAATGAAAAGGTACTAGAAGAACTATAATGCTGGTGGGTCATAAACAAGATCACGGCCAAGTTGTTGGCATGGCATGTGTTGCTGTGGCCAAATTTCAGCATTACAGGGGTGACGCCATAAGCTCCAAATAATCACAATTAAAGGAGGTGAAAACAAGGCCTTTCTTACCACCCCCCGCCCCCACCAAATATAAAACAAAAACATTGTGGAGATGGTACAGTTTGATTAAAAGCAAAACACGTGATCCACAAAAGTTAATAACCAGTTTGTCTTCCACAAGTCTTGGAGAGCTAAAGCAGAACTAAAGGAGGGGTTTTTAACCAGAGGGCCACAAACTCTACCGTAGGCTTTGGAAGAGGGAAACAGATTTGCATCCAAAAAGCCTCTGAAATTTTATGCAAAACTTTGTGTGTGTACAAAAAGTACTGACCAGTTCCTCAATGGGATTTGAAATTAGGAATAACCAACAAATTATCAATGTTTTGTAAGAAAACTTCTATCCAGCTACTGAAAGGTCTGACAATCAATATTATTTGGCATTTAATAAATGCTTTTAAAATGATGATAAAAGTCAAACATTGTAAGTACTAATATGATGGTAATCCAATTTAAAAAAGTAAGGTAAGTTATTTTGTCTGGATTTCCTACACGTTTTCCTTAGACTAAGTGTGCTAAGAAGTGATTACATGGAATTTTCAAATGTTAATATTAAGACTAACTTTAAATTAGATAACTTCTATAATTACAATATATATATAGTATATATATAAAATAATATATACAATATATATAATAACAATATATATAATTTAGATAGTATCATCTAAACTGAAGCAGAAACTGACAGCATGGAACTAATATTTTAAACTTCTCACTAAAAACTGTTTTATGTATCGGCCATCAAACTTCACAAATAACGCATACAAGACGGAGAGCGCAGCATGTGTCCTGGGAAGGGTCGGTGAGTAAAACCGTATAAGCTACCACACCCATTATTCTGGCCAAACCACTGGTCTCGTGTTTCGGAAGGCACTATTCTTAGGTGCTCTTTTGTTTAAGAAATGTAAAAAATAATTTCACTTAGTTTCTATTTCCTATCTTAAATTTTCCATTTACATTTGATATTTCAATTCTAAAAGGAAAATTACTAATCCAACAATTAAAAATTAAGGCAAAGCCATAAATAATTTAGTGGCTGGATAAAAAGAACTCCAGAAGACGCAAAAATCATATGATAGAGGTAAAGAGACATGAACAAATAAAAAAACTTAAGTAAAATATCAAATGTGATAAAGGTCAGTGGTAAGATAATGAAAGTTTAAAGAAGGCACAGATTAGTTTATAAAGTCATAGGGAATACAATTCATATGAGAACTCCAAGATACGTAGGACCGATATAGATAGAAAAATAAGTATACTCCAGTCAACAAAAGAAATTCAACAACAGAAAAAAAAGCACAAGGATATTCTGGGACAGGCAATCTGACTATAGTTTGAAAGGGCTCATATGAAGGGAAGAACTTAAACTATTTTCCTGTATCCTTCCCTCTAAGGAAAAAACAGTTGTGGAAACGCCTTTAACTTTTTTTTTATCCTTACCCAAGGACATTTTTTTCAGAGAGAGAGGAAGGGAGAGAGAGAAATATCAATGACAGAGAGAAGCACCCAGACCAGGGATCAAACCCACAGTCTAGGTCATGTGCCCTAACCAGAAAGAAATTGAACTCACGACCTTCTAGCTATGCAACAAAGCTCCCACCAACTGAGCCACACTGGTCAGGGCTGGAAACTCTCAAAATACATTCAGTATTCCATGTTCAATGGATCTTTTGTCCATTGGATTCATTATATGCCCCTAAACAGATTAAATCTCCCTACCGCCAAATGCGGTAGCACATGGTCTAGGGAAGGCTTTGTCCAGTTTCAATATGAAATAAATCAAACTATATGATAGTCACTATATTAATGATGCTTAGAAAATTTTAATCCAGAAAATTTTAATCTAATTTTAATAGTCAATTTTAATGACTATATTTTGGAAGTCTGGGCACCAGTTTCACATTATACCTCAGAATAAACTGAAACAACATACCAATCTAGCTTCCCCTGGAGCTGTAATAGTATGAAACTACCACTAAGTTACTGTTCAGTTTCATGAACAGATTCAGCAGTATTTTCTACAAACGCAGCTAAATATTAAGCAGCAGGCCATGTTCATTGATAAGGTAGAAAATATGAAGATTACCAAATTTTGAGTTAATGTTAACTCTAACCAACAACAAATGAAAGTGAACCTCAAGGGCAACAATTGTCCTATGAATTTAGCTGGAATAACTGGTAAGAAGTAGATGGATATTTGTAAATGAGGTGGCCAAAAATTATAGCACAGCTATTAAGAAAAACACAGCAGAAGATATAATGACCTGGTAGGAAATAAGCAAAACTAGGACCGTACTTTTTAATTAAAGCATCTCAGTTGAGATTAAAGATAAGCACCAAACAGTGAAAGACGTGAAATACAGCACACAATCAAACAGTAATCTTTTGCAGCACCCTTGCAATGTGAGGATGATCATCAGAACAGGCATGCCAGCAACAACCACAGACGGCATGTTTAAAAAATGTTATTTGTATTCACGTTATGAAGAAGTCAGGGTAGGTACTATTATTCCAATTTTTTGCAGATGGAGCAACTGAGGCTTAGGAAGTTCAAATGATTTGCCTAAGGCTCACAGATAGTAAACAGTGCAGCAAGGGGATTTTGAATCCCAGTGCACATGTTCTTTCCATATTCACAATGTTTCCTATCAGCCTCCGCAATGTCCTTATGAAATGTGAAAATGAGAAATACAGAGAATTCTTCCATTACTCTGGCATTCTATGAATTTTTCAAAGGCAGAAATATATCTGGTTCATACTCTAACCTATCAGCATCCAGCATAATGCTTTCCATATAATAGTGCACCATATAAACATGGTGCTCCATGTTTAATGGAGTGAAGGATTAATTACAATAATTACATTATTTGCAATATATTATTCCACTATTTTTAACATGTCTGTTGTATTATGCACTCTTACTATTTTACAGCTATTATTTGATGTGTGTTCAAAATCTGCATAGCAACAAGTCTTATTATGGGTCTTAATACAAACACTAAATACTCATTCTGTTGTCAATGTCTTAACTAATTTGAGCTCTATTTTTAAGTAAATATTTAATACTCTGTATCATTAACATAACATAATTTAGCTTGTATTTATAACTCAGATCACTGATTTTACATGTAATACACACCAACACTTAAACTACTCTAAAATAAGAGCTGTTTCAATGTCCTTTTGACTTAGTTATATTTTGTTAAGGAATGGAATCACTGATTATTTACTGAGGGAATTGAAGGGTCAATTTCACCACAAGTTCAATTCTTTATTATATAAAAAGAACTTGACAGATTTTTGAACCAGAATAAATTTTATGCCAATCATATTTGTGTCATGGTACCTAATGATAAATTAACCCTAAAACGGAAGTTCAGTTATTTAATATATGCAACAATTCAACTCCTGAAATCACAAAGAGAATTCACTGGTTTTTAGTCTTTCAAGCAACTTATTCTCCATTATTTCACATAGAAACATATATTTTTAAAGCCACAGAAACCTTAGTCTAGTCAAGTTTTTCTCAACCCTATTTTCAGGCTTTTTAAAAACCTAATCACCTTCTCTCCATAAGATTTTAATAATACATACCTATAACTGTATATATATATGCTTTATACATAAAAATGTATTTTTCACCCCCAAGAACCAATTATTGTCACCATTAAGAATCATCTCATTTTCCAAGTAAGGTCACTGAAGCCAAGAAATATTACATATTTGCCTAGTGCAACGCCACAGGATCTTTATAGTTAAAGGCACCAACAGCCCTGACCAGCATGGCTAGGTTGGTTGAGCACTGCCCACAAAGCCAAAGGCTGCTGGTTCAGTTCCTGGTTGGGGCACATGCCTGTATTGCGGGCCTAGTCCCTGTATGGGTCATGTGCGAGAGGCAAATGATTGATGTTTCTTTCATACATTGATGTTTCTCTTCCTCTCTTTTTCTCTACTTTCCCCTCTAAATAAACAAAATCTTAAAAAAAATAAAGGCACCAACAGCTCAAAAATTATTGGTGAAATGACTAAGAGAAAAACTACTAGTAACTAGTAGTTATCTAGATACTACTAGTTACCTAGATACCAATTATACATCCAGTATAACTACTAATATTTTCTTATTTTCACAAGAGGATAAGCCAGGCATTAACCTAAATCTATTTTGTGTCCTTTTAAGGAACTGTTTTGTAAAAACTGAAATGAATGGCTAAATGGATTCTTACTATATTAAAATAAATACTGTTATCCCATACATCCCCAAATGCCCTACCTCTTCATTTTTAAGTTCTTCAAAAACTTTATTAACTAAACAGTAGCAGAATTCAGAAATAATAAAATGAAAATAATGCAGGAACACATTTCCAGAATTAAAATTCAAGTTCTTAAGAAAATAATTTACTGTATTAGAGGAAACTATTTTGAAATAAAAATGCCTATATATTTTCCTTCTGATTCCTGAACATATTTCTAAGTAGTAGGTTATTTTGGGCTAAGTGATTAGCATTATTAATATGCTTACCAGTTCTGTCATATGACTCATGGCATGTACGTGCAATCTCCGCCCCTAGCTCTAAGTAATGACCAGCTTTGTCTCTGGAACCATCTGCTCCAAGTGCAAACATTCCCCCCGCAAAGCAGGCCAAATGCCCCATCTTCTTTTCCAGGTGCCCATTCTTCCATTCTCCAATAAAGGTGAGGCCTCCACGGGACTTCTTAATAAGATGTTTTTCTATAGCCTACAAGAAAGAGTAGATATTCGAAATTTCAGAAGTGAAATGTGAGTGTTCAAAGTTATTGCATCTTCCTGATGATAAAACCTTGGTAATATGATATTCCACAAAGCAGTAACTTTCCCAAACTGGAAGGCTTAATTTGCAATAACTAAGTTTTGAATGACTAATCAAGTTGCATAAATTTGAACAAATCACTACTATAACAAAACAAGGTGGACAAGGGGAAACTAGCTTAAAGATTACTTTTCTTCTCGAGCTAAAAACATTCATAATAATCAGTCAACTGAGATCATGATGACAAGGTAGAACCTGAAGACTGACGATTTATTTTCTATTTCATACAACAGAAACTGAATAGAAAGAATACCTAAGCTAATCAGAAAATTTTAATTCTGATTAGTTAAAATGGCTTCTCCTTTTTCTGTGTAACTATACCTTCTCTCAACGTACTTTAAAAGGGCACCATTAGGTAATATACCCGGTATGTTATTAAAGCTTATGAAACTAGCTGAAAAGTAAAATTGAACCCCTCAGTCCCTTACTTCACAGCTGAAGCCTCTAGATGTGCTGTGGTTAAGACAGGCCATGCAAAAAACACGGTGCACCCTCCTGCGATGTCAATTTTACTCAAGAGACATGAGGATGGCAAGAAAAGTATTTCATTTTAGTCACTGTCAGCCTGTTCTCAATTTCAGTGTCTTTGGTTATATTTTGCTTGTTTGTTTGTTTTGTTGACTAGGTTTTTAACATGAATATTACACAAAGTAGAATCCAACAATTACATTTAATTTTAAAAATGAGACTTTTAAGAGCTTTGTTATTTTGGACTATGTTCTCACACTTTGCTGCCAGGGTCTATGGATTCTCTACCGCTAGAGATAGTTCAGGTTCTACAGAAAAGTTTAAGAAATTACACGAATTCAGTTCTCTTTGATGGAAATTATATGATTAGAGACTATACTTTTCTGACAATAAAAAGGAAATAGAGTTAACCCACATTTTTATGATGGGTTGTTCTCTGACAAGCTCAGTAACAATCAGCTTTGGAAAAATTTATTCTATATTCTTTATAATAATGTTTTACAGAACTATAAAGACTGTGCCTTTGCCATCATTTTATATGCCACAAGGCTTATAAGTGTAATATGAACTCAATAAATGTTTAGTTAATACCATTTTATAAATAAATAGTAAAAAACTGTACTTTACCTATTAGGGGAATGAGGAGAGGTTAATAAGCAAACTAAGGAACCACTGCATTGTGAATGTCTACTGTTGTTATTTTCTTTTAACCACAGTGCTCTACGGCACATATGTAAAAGCACACATGTACTTTAAATATAAAATATAGATATAATTAAAATAAAAATATTTTAAATATATTTACAATATTAATGAATATATTTAAATATGCTTGTTCATTTATCAAATACTATTGAATCACCTTTTGTTTCAGGTATTGTACAAGGTGCTAAGACACTGACAATTAGTCTGCCTTCAAGGAACCCATCCTTAGCCTAGTGGGAATGACTAAGGGCTATATTTAACACTATGATTCTAAGAATATTATGTTCTTCCTAGGTAATGACTTTTCTTAGATCATAAAAGTTTCTAGGCTTAAAGTTGAATAACAGAATAAAACTTTCCAATTTTTCAAAATGTAAGACTTCATAAAGAATTTTGGAAGTCACATACCAAAATGGAGATTTCTTAATACACATTAATTTAGTTCAATTTTTTAGTTAACACAGTCTCTCAAGAAATATTTACCTAATGCCTCAATGGGCCAAGCACTACATACCACATATTAGTTCAACTCCTGTGCATTTTTGTAAATAACTATAGAAAATTGGTTACCTAAAAGGTAAAGATATAAAATAGGTAATAAGATCCTTGGTTTAATTTAAAGACAAACAACTACTATAACTCAATACTGATCATACTGGAACTCGATGATCATATTAATCAGTATAACTGATACTGATCAATACTATAGTCAGAATGGTATATACTTTGTAGTATATACAAAATATATGACTTTACAAAAGTAATTAAAATTAAAAAGATATGTTTTTACTAGATCAGAAAGCAACTAACTTATTAAATGTTTAACATACTTTTCTCTTTCACAGTTTTTGCGTGGAAATACCACATGTAAGTGTTTCTAAGAAACGTGTCCCTATTTTAGAGTGTCTGAACACTGTGGCATGAGGTCATACAGACATGGTACAGTGGTTAAGAGCGCCATCTCTAGAGTGTTCGGCTCCAGGCTTCATCACTTCCTAGCTCTGAGAGATTCATAAGGTTGCTTAAGCTCTTGGTGCCCCAAGGTCCCTGTGTGCCAAGTGGTCAAGGAGATTAAACTACGTCACCTACGCTAAAGGAGTGAGAACAGTGTCTGGCACTTGGAAAGTACTATATACATGTTTCACCCTTATGATTTACATATGCAGCTTCAATGAGTCATTTGAAAGAAAAAATGTTAATGGAAATGCATGTAAAGTCAGAAATTTTTCCTGTCTAGAAATTTTTCCTATAGACAATAACTAAAATTAATTAAAATAAATTTTCATACATAAATATGCTACACTATATTCTTTCTTCAACAATTTCTTTAAAATGCCACAATAAAGGAAAACAATCTGAATTTTACATTAAAATACTAAGAAACTCTACAACAAATGCATATAATAAAATGCATATAAGATGTTCAACTGTCACTATCAAATACATTGGATATTCATTATGTTAAACAGGTAAATGTTCTTGATCGTATTACCTCAATAGCATCATCATACATTTTTCTCGCCTCATGGTCTGTTTTATCTGACATCAACCATGCTTTCAGCAAGTACTCATAAAAACTGTCTCCCAGCCCTCCAACTGATGTATGATCTGTTAACAAAAAAAGAGAAGGAGGGAGGTGGAGAAAAGAGAAGACAGAGCACAAGTAAGCAATGTTTTTCAATTATAATGACAATAATACAGGTTAAAATGAAAAATTACACTGACAGCTCTAGTTCCAACATACTTCAACTTCAGTCCAGTAAGAGCACACAATAAGCACTCTCTCCTACATGTGTACCCAATTTTCTAGAAATCTTTTCCCGCTGGACATGGTACAATATTTCACATATTTAGTTGTCTTTTTCTTCCATCACTAGTTTGCATATTGTCACACATCCAAACATTTCCAGAATCAAAAATAATTACCTTTCATATATTAATGGCTTTAACTATATAAGCTATAGGATTAAGTATGAGATATCCATAAATCTTTTGTTAACCAAAATAGCTAATTTTTCTATAGAATGATAGTGATTTCTGTGCTGTAAAATAAATCTACAAATAAAAAAAGCCCAAGAACTCCTTTGTACTATTACTTCCATAATATGGTAAGTTGTTGAATTAAAACTCTTGACTACTATTTATACAGCTTAGTACATACTTGTTAGTCCTAGGTATATTCTTAAAGATGAGACACCATCTACACCTTTAATCGTATCCAACTGAACAACATTAACTCCCAAGGCAACATTTTTATCCTTGACTTTCCATAAACCCTGCCCTACATCCTCGAACTTTATTTCAAAACTCATGTCATCCCCACATGAAGAGAAAAATATCACATATCTGATAACCCTGCAATCACTGGTCTTACAAATTAGTGAGCGAGGAATGGACTATTCAGTGGTTTATGGGAACAACAGTGTATCTGTTCTGGGGAAAATACCTACTGATATTTATATCTTTAGCTTACAAAAATTAATTTGTGGTAGATTAGTGATTTAAAAGTAAACACAAGACTTAAGTATACCAGCCCTGGCTGGTGTGGCTCAGCAGACTGAGTGCCAGCCTGTGAACCACAGGGTTGCTGGTTTGATTCCCAGTCAGGGCACATGCCTGGGTTGCGGGCCAGGTCCCCAATAGGGGGCTCACAAGAAGCAACCACACACTGATGTTTCTCTCACGCTCTTTCTCCCTCTCTTTCCCTCTCTAAAACTAAATAAATAAAATCTTAAAAAAAAACAACTTAAGTATACCGGAAGAAAATATAAGAAAATATCTGTTTTTCCTAAGCAGATGAACTTCTTAAACAAAACACAAAATGAAGACTCCATAAAGAGAAAGACTGTGTCACATGGTAGATACAAGCTGCCATAAATGAATATGTAAGACAAGAAAAAGACTGGGAGAAGATACCTGGAACATGCATAAGAGAAATAAGGGTTCATGTCCTACACAAAGAACTCTAAAAACTAAGAAAAACTGACACAGGGCACATACAATTAATAAAAAAAGAAATAAAAATTGATAATTAACCTAAGAAAGGAAGCTCAACTACACTAATGATCTGAGAAAAGCAAATTAAAACAATGATATTCCATTTTTGTCTATATAGTGGGCAAGCTTTTTTTTTTATCCTCACCCAAGGACATTTTTTCTCATTGCTTTTAGAGAGAGGAATGGGAGGGAGAGAGGGAGAGAAACATTGATGTGAGAAACATCGATTAGTTGCCTTACATGCATGCCCTGACCAGGGACCAAACTCACAACCTAGGCATGTGTCCTGCTGGGAATCAAACCCAACCAACAATACCCAACCTACTGAGTCATACTGGCCAGGGCTAATTGGCAAACATTTTAAAAGATTGATAACATCAGATGATCACTTAGTGGGTTATATAATATCTAATCACTGAGGTGTACACCTGAAACTAATACATTGACTACAATTGAAAAATAAAAAGTGATTTAAATTAAAAAAATAAATCACATATTTCCATGCCTTTAATAAAATAAACATGTTAACTTTATTTTTAAATCCCTAAAGAAAAAAGATTGGTAACAATGTTGATATGGTTATGGTTTACAGTTGCTGGAATTGGAGTGCAATTTTGTAGCAGCTATCAAAATTTAACCTAGGTTTTCTAGTTCTTCAATTATCCTATAATACTACTTGCATAAATATACAAACACAGATCTAAATGCATCATGGCACTATTTGCATTAGTAAAATAATAAGATACCTCATATGTCTAGGGAGTGGCCAAATAAATCATGTATCAACATACTCTAGCGGACTATGAAATCATTAAAGAGAATCAGGTGGGTCTATAACCTGATATTAGAGGATATTTATTAATGCTGTTGAGTGGGTAGAAAAAAGCAAGTTTCAGAACAACACAGTTTAATACCATTCAAAATTTGTATGTTTAAAGAACACTATTGTACACACAGAAATGGTTTGAAAGACAACTGTCAACAGTGATTACCTCTAAGAAAGGAGCCCTTGCATTTTTATTGTATATACTTATCTTTTATCAGAATACATATTTTTATATATGTATATACACCAAAACAAGATAAAAAATATATAGCATTTCCATCATCTCAAAAGTTTTCCATATTTGGCCCTCACAATCAATACCTAACTTCCTAAAATAACCATTTTTCTGACCTCTATCACCACAGATTAGTTTTGCCAAGTTCATATATAAACTTACATAAAGGGCCATCACATAAAATGTCAATTTACTTTCAATTGTGATTTGTTAGCTTAACACTTCTCCACTGGTTTCCATCTACCTATTCTGAAGATGGTACCTCTGATTATTTTGACATCCTGCATTTCCTAACATTAAGTGATTGGGTATCAGACAATACACTTAGAGGAAGAGAAGACAGAGTCACAATGTGATCCCTCATTCTAAGCCTCAAACTGCACACACACACACACACACACACACACACACACAAACCACAATTAGATTTCTCATAGTGTTCAATACTCACCATACTTACATTTAAGAATTTTATAATGATGGTAATATACAATGATGGGTTTACAGGATAAATTACATTTAGATGCTAAATTAATTCTAACAGAGTTAAACATTTTATAATTATTAAAAAATCATAAAAGATAACATACTTATAAAATATGAAAACAGTATGGAATAGACAGGGAAAGTCCTCATACTTAACAGGCATTTGGGACAGAGTAAGGATTAGGGGCGCCCACTGGGCACATTACTTGGTAATGAAAAAAGGGCAGTGGTTTCATATTTAGAGAACAACCACTTTAAAACTGCTGTATCAAAACAACTGTACCCAAATACCCCCATCAATACTGCTACCTCAGTTTTGTGGTTATGGCGAAATGTCTTGACTCAGTCAGGGAATGATGCTATCACTACTTGACCAGCTGCCTGGTCTTTTCTTAGACCTCATCAACTGTTTAAAATCCTGTTGTATTTTAGTTGTCCTCATATGGTAACCATGACTTTCTTGCATACTTTTTAGTTTTTCCCCTGGATTTTTCAGTTGCCTTCCTATTGTCTCCCATCCCTTTTTTTATTTTTTTAAATCATTCGTATTGTTTCCTAGCCTCTCAATCATGTTACTTAGACTTACACTGAGTCACCCCTGACCTCCTCATTCCCCTAAAGGCCTTCCTCCCAATCTTATTTCCTAAGCACACTGCACAAGCTATCATCTTGAGACTTTTCTTGCTTTCCTGAGTTAGATCCATTATTTCCTTAAGCCTATGCTTGGTTTACACCTGTTTTACTGATTCTTTTTTTTTCACATAATTTCCCCCAAAAAAGTATGTGGAATGTAACCACGCTGTCTGAAAATGTCTTTACTATGCTCCCCTCTCACTTTTATTTTACACAGGTATCATACTCAAGGTTGGAAATCATCCCTCTCAGAGCTTCTTGAAGGTGCTCTCCTACATTGTAACACCAAGTATACCACTGGTGAGAAATCTGATGTGATTTTATAGGCTTGAGGTATTCTCAATCTCCCCTCCTCACACTCAACTGGCCTTTCTGAGTTAAACCTTCATTTTGGCATTGGTTAATTTTTTTTTCTACATTCACTGTGCTGAGCACTTTTCAAAGGTAAAATTAGTATCCTTCAGGTCTGGGGTAAAGCTCTTACATCACTGCTTTATTTTCTCCACTGCACTTGCTCGGTTCTCCCTTCTGAAACTCATACTAGTTCTGCCATACTAGTTGCAAATCGTACCTCCTGGACTGATTCTATTATTCTTTTCTCTCAAATTTAGCCTCTTAGTCATCTTTCTCTATATTCTAGAGCTTTTAAAAAAAATCGATTCTACCTTTTAGTCCTTTCACTGAAGCTTTAATGTCAGCAATCATACTTTAATCTCTGGGCTCTTTTCTGTTCTCTAATTGCTTCTTTTTCACAGTATCCTATTCCTATTTTAGGAACATATTATCTTTTTAGAGTTCTTAGAATGAAAGAGAGGATTAAAAATGTTTAGTTATAAAACTGCCTCAATTTCCTCTGGGATCCCCTTTCTGAATTTACATGTTTTTGCTGTGATATTTAATATTCATACAGAAAAATATATAATACGTGTTATGCTCATTACAGAGAATATCTGCTTATTCTCTGCTCAGAATAATGCCAGTGCCCTAAAAACCTCTCACGTATCCTTTTTCAATCACAATTCCCACCTCCTAACGGTAACCAGTATCTTGACTTTTTGTGTAATCACTTTGATTTTTTATATGGTTATCACCTAATACTCTCTCCCAACCACTGTTGTTGCTTTTCCTATCGGTATATTTAATAAATGGTATCACTGATTCTCTTGTGTCCAGCTTCTACACCTCAACACTGTGAGGTTCGACCATGCTGTTACATACAGCTGTGTATCACTGATGTTCTGGGCAGCTAGTGTGGGTTTCCTCACTGAGGAGACCGAATCACCACTAGGTCTCTCTCATGAGTGGGAATGCTGACTGGATGCTTTCTGCATAGGCTAAGTTGAGGAAAGGTGGGCTAACTGGCAGGCTTTGCTTTAGAGTCAGGAACAAGGTGTGTATTGTGAAACTGTGGATCTGCTTGAAGTTTAGAAT